TCAGCAGGTTCTTGGAGGGTACTGGGCGCACAGAAGGAGCAGCGGCCTTGTGCCAGTGTGCCCAGGGCAGGTGCAAAGTTCAGCCTAGCAGACCCCAGGCTTACAGGTCGCCGCCCTCCACCAATCTGGGCCTGCTGCAGAGAGCAGAGCCGCCCCACGTCTCCGGGAGAGGGGCATCCGGCTGGCTGCGGGGCGAGGTGGGGCAGCCCACTCCGGAAGATGCCCCCCAACCGCCAAGCCCACCCACGCGCCGGGATCGTGAGCGCTGTTCCCTGCCCGCAGGGGTCGCAGCACCGCTCTCCACAGCCCGCCACCAAAGAGCGCACTGGAGGCGGAGGAGTTAGCAGCCACCAGCACGCTCCCCGCCTCCCCGACAGAGCCTCGGTCAGCATGGGGGTGACAGGTGGGAGCGGGCGGGCGCGCGGCGAGGCGGGGCCGGGAGCGGAGGGACGGCCGGGGCTGGGCCGGGCGGGAAAAGTTAAAGTGAGGGGCGGGGCGCCGGGGGCGGGGATCGGCCGGGGCCCCTGCCTGGCGCCTGAAAGGAAGGTCGACCCCAGCCAAAACCCTCGCGATCCCAGCGAGGATGAGGGGCGGTGCTACCCTGACCACCACACCCACCCAGCGTTGGCCCTTCGCGGTGCACAAGCGTGTGTGTACACACGTGCACACCGAGGGGTGGAGGCCGCAGACCCGGCGGGTTCTTGGAGGGCTTCAGGGTACCCAGAAAGAGCAGTAACCCTGTGCCCAGAAACGACACATGAATTATCCCAAACTGCCGAGAACCACCCCCAAATCAAATCAAGTTGTTCCTGGTTGATGCTTGAAGCTTGTGCAGGGAAAAGCAATCTGCTTCAACAGATGTTTACTGAGCGCATCCGTTGTGCTTTGCACTCTTCTCTGTACCAACGAGCAAAGATGTTTGCCCCTCGGGGCCCTGGATCTCCCAGGTTTCTAATAATGGGGGCTCAGATCCCCCCCTCCCCCGAAATGGAGGCTTTCTTCTGAGGACCTTCTCTCCCGGGAGGACATAGGCCAGCCTTCAAAACGTGACAAGAACCAACTACCAGAGAGCAGCTTTCCGCCGTCCCAAATGCCTAAGGCAAACAAATTGATGCAGACAACTTAAATCACTCCTGCAATATTTATTGCAACCCCTTCAGGACTTACTCTTTTTTTCTTTTTCTTTTTTCTTTTTTTTTTTTTAATCTCAGCAGAGAACAGTATTTTATTTTATAAATTTATTTATAAATTTACTTATAAATTTATTTATTTATTTATGGCTACGTTGGATCTTCATTGCTGTGAGTGGGCTTTCAGCGAGCAGGAGCTACTCTTCGTTGGGGTGCGCAGGCTTCTCATTACGGTGGCTTCTCTTTGTTGTGGAGCACGGGCTCTAGATGCATGGGCTTCAGTAGTTGTGGCACGCGAGCTCAGTAGTTGTGGCTCACGGTCTCAGTTGCTCCGCGTCATGTGGGATCTTCCCAGACCAGGGCTCAAACCCGTGTCCCCTGCACTGGCAGGCAGATTCTTAACCACTGCACCACCAGGGAAATCCTATTTTAGTTTTTAATTGTATAGTTGATTTACAATGTCATATTAGTTTGAGGTGTACAGCACAATAATTGTTATATATATGTATATTTTTTCAGATCCTTTTCCCTTATAGGCTATTACAAAATGTTGAGTATACTTCCCTGTGCTATACAGTAAGTCCTTGTTGGTTATCTATTTTAATATATAGTAGTGTGTATATGTTATCCCTACCCCCCCGCCCCAGCTTTCCATTTGGTAACCATAAGTTTGTTTTCTGTGCCTGTGAGTCTTTTTCTAGTTTGTAAATAAGTTCGTTTGTATCTTTTTTTTTAAGATTCTACATATAAGCAATATTATATGATATTTGTCTTTCTTTGTCTCTCTTACTTCACTTAGTATGATAATCTCTAGGTCCATCCATGTTGCTGCAAGTGGCATTATTTCAGCATTTTTAATGGCTGCGTAATATTCCATTGTGTATATATATATAT